TCCTCCCGTTTCCTCTGCTCTTCCTCCCTCTGCTTCCTTTCCTTCTCCCTCCTCGCCCTCTCTTCCTCCTCTCGCTTCTTCCGCTCTTCCTCCTCTCTCTGCTTCCTTTCCCTCTCCTCCTCTTCCCGCTCCCGCTCCCCCTTCCCGCCCTCCTGTTCCTCCTGCTCCGCCTTCCTCTCCAGCTCCTCCGCGCACGAGATGCACGCCATTATGGTCGACCCGCTCTTCGCCGACAGCAGCTTCTCCACGGCGGTCGTGTTCTTCTGCCCCAGAGCCAGCGCCACTATCTCCTTGCCGATCACCTGCAGCACCGAATGCTCCCCGGCCAGGAACTGCGGGTTGTTCTCCCCCATGTGGGTGCTGAACCCGACGAACACGAACGACCCGTTGTTGAAGGACAGCTGCGCCATCGGGTGGAACCTCGGCACCACGAACACGTCGCCTTCCTTCACTCTGAACACCGAATTCTTGCACTCTACGCCTCCTTGCCCGTGGTCGCCGCCCCTGCGGCCGCCCTCGTCGTGGTGACCGTGATCGCCGCCCCCGCGGCCGCCCTCGTCGTGGTGACCGTGATCGCCTCTCCTGCGGCCGCCCTCATCGTGGTGACCGTGATCGCCGCCCCCGCGGCCACCCTCGTCGTGGTGGCCGTGACCGCCTCCGGTGCCCGACGGGATGCTCGGGCATACCACCTGCACGATCCCTGATCCGTGGGTGACGATGGCGATCTCCGTGGCTTTCGGGTTCCAGTGAGGCCCCATCATCGACCCCTGCAAAATTGATCAGTGCAAACACTTTTTATGTTAGCACGAGAACTGAAGAGCTACTCAACGCAACAGTGAGCGAAGAATCTTCTGCCCACTTACCGTGGTCAGGTTCACCATGAACATGCCAATGTTGGACCCCTTGAGGTTCTGCAGGTCCTTGTTGGTCATGGTTTTGCTCCATCCGAAGCAGTTCTTGACGTCCGGCTTGCCGGAGTAGAAGTTAAACGTCTCGCTCTTGGATTTGTCGTCCTTCTTGTCCTTCTTCTTGTGCTTATCCTTCTTCTTCTTCTTGTTCAGTGGGGACTCGTCGCCCCACAGCGCGTTGAAGATTTCTTCCGTCCAATTCGACTTCTCTTCCTTCTCCTGGTCTGGAAGGTACGTTATAATCGACTGTGGGCTCTTGGCCGATTGGATTGCCTCCACCACTTCAGCGGAAACCTTACAAGACCAACAATTCATGTAATCGATGTGATGCAACTATGCAAGACATGTGCATACTCATTCGTACTAAATTTACTTACCCCAAATCCCTGTCGAAGAATCTTTACTTCAAATCCTCTCAGTAGATTGCTGACGCTCGAGTATGCTTCTGACTTGGGGTGCTGCAATATTGTGGCCAAGTACTCACTCGTCAGTATCGCAAGAATGAATAAGTAGATCACCAAACATAGAAGCGGTCTGTAGGTACCGATGGGTCGTCGCAGTTGATGGCGTTGCTGGTGAAGATGGCGTAGATCCGGAGACGCTCTCTGGTGGCGTTGGGGTAGCTCTGGATGTACAGGATGCTGCCCTGCTCCAAGTTGTACACGTCTCCTCGCTGTATTTCCAGCGAGCTTGTTTCGCTGCCCCCTTCTTGGATGTAGGTCACCTTGCCCCGCCCTGGCCCCAGAAAATCACGACATAAGTTTAGTCACACAAAACACGTGCACTTGCAGACAGCGTTCGTTCATGGACGTTACGTACCGCTGTGCACGTAGAACACTGCGTCGGCGTGCAGCTGCACGGGCAGGAACAGGGCGCCGGGGTCCATGGTGATGAACTGCAGCCGGTACACGGTGCCCGCCGCGTCGGCGACGTCCGCGGCCGTAACCGTGCCGGCCTCGCTCTGAGCGACCACCCTCCGCCGCTCCTTCTCCACGACCTGGCCGCCCACCGCAGCCCCGGCCTTCCATTTCGTGTCATGCGCCGCGGCCGCGGCGGACACGAGCAGGGACAGGACGAGCCACCGAGCCGTCGCCACCGCCATTTTTGCAAGTCTTTGTTTGCTGCTTTCTCGTCGACCTCGCGCGGTCTGTGAAAGGAACGGGAGGCTATGGCGCCTCATATGTAGACGACGCGATGCTGTAGCTGGTGAAGTGGCGATGCGTGGCGTGAGCTACGTGGGAGGCTGTGGGCATGGTGGCCGTGCATGGGCGCTACGTGCCCTGGTCACGACGGAGGCGGTGGGCGGCTCGAGGACTCGCGGTGGTGTTGCGGTCCGTGGGGCGTGTCCTATGCTAGCCACTTGGCCCCTTGCTATGTGAGGTGGAGTGCACGTGCCGCGCGATATATGTCCATTTGGTGCCCACCGTCCTACGCGAAATTTCGATACGGCTTCTGTTGCTAATTTCGGTGCTTAAGGGGTGTACAATGTTATCTTGAGAGATAAACGGCGAAGGATGGGAAAGCATCAGGTGATCAGGTTACTCCCGGTGCTCCAAATTCAGAAAAAATATTCTGAAAAAATGAATGCTCGTAAGGAATGTAACCACAACACCTAAATACTTTAGGTCCAAACTTGGAATGCACATTTGCGAAACAAAAAAGTGAAATCCACATGTGAATATTGTCGATATTGCTTTGGCCTTTTTTTTACACTATCCATGCCACATTTTGTTTCTCAGTGTGTGTTTTGAGTTTAACCTAATATTTTTAGGAATTATAGTCAAATTCCTTGTGAACATTCATATATTTTTTCAGATATATTTGTAACATTAAGATTTTTTTTTGTGAATTTGGAGCACCGGGAGTACCCCAAGATGGTAATAGCTGATACTCCCCAGGCGAAGGATAAAGATAAAAAAGGTCTTTTCTTAATTAAAAGAGGATCTTTTAGCACAATATCTTTTATCACATATCTAGGTATATTTAGTTATGAGAGTGATGTGTTTATCTCTCATTTAGGTGGGAATTAATTAAGTCTTAACTAACTCTCACACCATTTGATTTTATACGGAGAATCCGTGCAATTTTTGTCAGCGACAAGGTGGCGCCATCACGGAAACCAAGTGAGGGTTCAAATTGAAATACAAGGCCTACTCGCAAGCCTCGTTTACCGTCTCGGCTTGCTGGGCCTGAATGGGCTCTAAGAGCATCTACAGCCGGACACCCCAAACCCCCTCATATGCCCGGGCAGACGACTTGGTCAGGGATCGATCACAAAAAAGCGACCAAGACAGGCGCCTCAAAAGGGCCTCAAACGCCCGGGTTGATTGGCACCCCAACCCAAATGTATGACGGATATGGGGGCATCAGAACACGTTCGCCACGTCGTACTGATGATGGGGTCCCACACGAAATTGCCCCAAAACCCGGCGGTCCGGCGGACGTCTCCTCCGGTGGGGGGTGTGAACGCCGCGTGGCGCCGCT